CTTTACAGTATGCGTGTGCTCCTACCATCAAAATGTTAAGTTAATGATTAGTGCAGTTGAATTATTAAAGGATTATCACGAGCTTATTGATATGCTTGTTTGTAGTAGGGCGAACAAAACTTGCATGATACATCGTTGCCCTTTGTGCCCAGAAGATTCTACATTAGTACATTATCACAAATACTTATGTGTGTTTGTTGAACTAGTTCATTAAAGTTTATTTTATGTTTTAGGGGTTCTCGATGAAAAGACTGTTTTAGTCTTCTGCGAGTTTCCTTAAAACAAAGAAAAATATTTTTTAAGAATAATTTTATATATATATATATATATTCAACAACGTCCACAAACAAGTCCCTAGTAGCCCTGTGGTACGACGGACTTGCATATATTTTTTAAATGCATGGGTTATAAACCAGCACTTTATATTATAAACAACGAATAGTTACCTTATTTTGTACACTGTACAACGCGCTAAACAGAATTTTGAATGCGCTAAACAGAATTTTGAATTTCTTTTGTCTTGTAAAAATTTTAATGGTACAAAAATTGTTTAATTGTACGTTTTGTACTTATATGTAAAGATATGTAACTTTGTTTTATTGAAATATATACGGATACTTGTGTTGTAAAAAAAAAAAAAAAAAAAAAATCTTGAAAATGAGTTATACTCTTTTTCAGGACGATATTGATGTTTTACTCTTTTTCAAGACGATATTGATGAAGATGATGATTATTGTATAGATTACAAACTATGGAAAACAACAGACCGACCTGAGCTATTAAATCTAAGAGAAACGACAAGTAGCTTTATTAATACTTTGAAAAATAAGTTGCAAAAAATTACTATTCATTCTTATATTGCAAAAATTCAAACTGCTTTTTTAAGAAATTTAAAAAATGAGTTAAGTAGTACTGAGGTCATTGTCCTTTGTGATTTCTCAGAAAATTATGAGTTTGTTGTACAAGACGAAATAAAATTTTTACACAAAGTTTTCACTGGAAGAAAATTCAAGCAACATTGCATCCAACAGTAACTTATTATAAAGAAAATAATGTCCTCAAATATGATTCAATATGTTTCATCTCAGATGATTTACTGCATAATGTTGATATGATTTATCATGTGATGAAGCTAACAGTTAAACATATTAAATGTAATATTTCTCATCAAATAGAAAGTGTCCATCACTTTTCAGATGGGTGTACTGGCCAGTACAAGATCTGCAAACACTTCGTAAATATATGCCACCATGAACAAGATTTTGCTATGAAATGTACCTGGTCTTTCTTTGCAACAAATCACTGTAAATTGCCCTGTGATGGTATTAGTTGGACTGTAAAATAACTTCAATTGCTAGCCTTCATCGAACAACAACAAATCATATTCTTACAGCATCTGCAATGTTTGTCAAAATGAAATCATTTTGAAACTGCAAAAACGTTACCAGGCACTTGTAGCTATCACAATTTCGTTCAAATAAGTAACATAAAAACTGGAACTAAAGTTGTTTCTGAACAATTGGAGTATTCATTTGTTTTTAATTTTCAAACTGATGAGATTGTTAAAGAATTCTTTTCTAATATAAGCATTGGTGTGTTTGTATGTTTGATTTATGATAACAATCCATGGATCGGACTAGTTGAGAAAATTGATGTTGAAATAAAGACTTTCAAGTTAGTTTTATGTATCCATGTTACCCATCAAGGTCATATTATTGGCCTTCTAGAGATGATGTTTGCTGGGTTCCATCAACAAACTTATTGTTAATGATTAATATTCCAACAACTGTTACAGGAAGACAATACAAAATCAGTGAAATTGATCACCAGAGCATTGAAGATGGCTGGGCAAACTTTAAACCAGAGAACTAATTTGTTATCTGTCAAAGATTTTTAATTCTTATCTTTTATAAATGACGAAGATTGTTAATTCTTATAATCTTTTAGTTTTAATTTTTCTTATTGCAATTTAATTATTTCCATGGTTTGTGTAATTTCAATATTTTTTTGATTTAATGTTATAAGACTTTGAATGCAAATAAATTTGATTTAAAAGAGAAAACCCTTCCAGATTTTTTGTATTATGGAGCTTGTTACATATAGAACATTAGGAAAAAATTTCGAAATCATATAATTTAGGCATCTCAAGATAAAGTTTTTTTTGTACAGGGCATCTAAAATCTTACAAAAAGTATTACACCATTTTGAAATTGAATATTTATATAGAAGCTTACATTTTGTAACGTTTTAACCATGATTTTTGAGTTCCTCACCCTAAAAAGTAGTTTGATAGAAATTTTCATCACTATCAAACAAGTATTTCATAAGTTAAAGCTAATTGTGTTGTGCAATGAGCTTAAAAAATAAATGGCTCTGAAAAAAAAGTCAAAAAAGAGATTGGAACCAAGTATCAATATCTCTGAAACCGTAAGAAATCTGATACTAAAATTTGGAGTGAAGTTTTCTTTCATTAATTTAAGCTTTTACTCCAAAAATTAGCAAAATATGAGATGGTATGGTGCCGAAATTTTTTTTTTAGTTAGTTTGACGCAGAATGACCCTTTAACTCTTACGTTTTTACACAATATATATATTTATATAAAAATATATATATGCAAGGCTGGCGCGATAGGGGTGTCTGTGTGTGTGTGTGTGTGGGTGTGGTGGTTATTTTAAATTTAATTTTGATAGTTATAATAGAAAATAAGTTTGTTTTTTCAAAGGATTTTTTGCTCAAAGATTTGCTGTTAATAATTTTTTTTTAAAAAAAGAAAACTCAGGTGAGCATCAAATAACAAGTTAAAATATTTTCTTGTGTTTATGGTAGTCAAGGCCGGAGCGATAGGGGTGTGTGGGGGTGTGTAACCCCCCCCCCCCCCATTAATGATTTTGAGTCGGCAAACTGGACCCTTAGTTGGCAAATCGGACCCTTTTAGACTAGCTAGTCGGCAAATGTCGACCCTTTCGGTATAGGTTAGACAGTCGGCAAATGTCGTAATGGTAGTAGGCAAATTTTAGAAAACGAGGACTTTTTTTTTTTTTTTTTTTAGTGGGCAAAAGTTGTAATGGCACCTTCCCCCCCCACGTGACACCAACTCGCGCCGGCCCTGATGGTAGTTTTTTCTATTTGTTCTTTCTGAATGTTTTTCGTCTGTTGGTAATGTTTTTAATTAAATTTGTTTATAACTGTTTTTATATGAATTTATCTCTTAGTGTCAAACAAAGAATACACGAATTGCGATAAGCTTGAAATTTGGAAAGAATGTAAAAATCAAACTAGTTTCACTCTAAGTTATTGTATAAAATTTTAAAATTTTTAAATAGAAGTATTGTAAAGTTTTTTTTTTTAGTCTTTTATTTTCCATTTTTAACTAGTTGCCTGGATTAATTTAATCGCCATGTATGAACTAAATAAATAAAAGGAAAAAAAACATCATAGCACGATGTTATACAGTGTAACATACTGCTTTATTGCTCTTTGTAGTGTAGAAATAACCTCGTGAAAATATTAGAAATACGTTGGTGATCGTTTTTCTTACAACGTGTGGCCAACGTCATCAAAATAAAGTTAGCTTATGTTTTATTTCAGTGGTTAATCCAACGCCTAAACAACGATAGAATAGACATTGTCTTAACGTCATTTCGCTCAAAATATAACGTTTGCCAACGTCTTTATAACGTCTTTTTTTCTTTAAATTTAACGCCTCTCCGACGTCATTTAGTTCAAATGTGACGTTGTCACAACGTCATTTAGGCAAAATGACGGCATTATTACGTTGTTTTAACGTTGAAATTCGGTTGAAGCGTTGTTTCAACTTTGTCCAACTATGTCAGAACGTTAAATCAACGTTACCTTTTAAACGTTGTTTTTTTCAACTTTAAATCATTGTTGACAATTATTAAAAAACCATACGTTAAGTTGATGCATAAAGTAGTATTAGTTAAACTTTAACTGATTATTGCTGATATTATTGATTAGATATTACTTTAACTGTTAAAGCAAAAATTAATTAAAATAATATTTTAGTATAATGTGTGAAATTTTTAATTTTTAGTTGTCAAAAATCTTTTATTTAGTATTTAAATTTCTTGTTCCTATGAATAAAAAAACGAATGACAAAAAAAAAAAAAAAAAATTAAAACAAATCAAAATATACACAAAAGTTTTGTGTATGTTTTGATTTGTCATTATTTCTCTCAAGTTTCTTTTCTACACTACTAGAAGATGATTCTGCTAAAGCTAGAACATAAGAGTGGCATTTTCGCCATTTTCATGAATAAATTTTTGTTTTCTTCTACTTGATTGTTGTTTTGTCAAAACATCAATCAAGTAGAAGAAAAAAAATTTGAGATAGCGATTATGAAAGTGAAGAGTATCTTTTTTATTATTTGTCTCAAAGTGATGACGATGGTTCTGTGTTTTTCACAGAAAAAAAACATATTTTACTTAATTATACACTGGTGAAATGGGCAGTAGAGTACTGCTGTTCACGTGGATGTGTAAAAGATTTTCAGCTTGGAGTCTGAAGCAAAGTTCTTTTAAAAGAACTTTGCTTTAGACTTCAAAATCAGTTACTGTTGAAAGAAAGTGTGGTGGTCAGTACTATTAGTATTGACCACCAAAGTATTAGTATTAATTTAGACCTAAATAAAGGTAAAAAACCATCGATATTTACATCAATAAGTATTGTTTCATTTATAAAAACTAAATAATCTTTGTTTAATGCAGAAACAGCTTTTAGTATACTAGTTTCAGACCAAAGTAATAATATTACTATTAGACATTAAATATAAAAAAAGGTTAAATGTTTCTTTTTAAGCAAATATTCTCTTTTAATCAGAGAACATTCAGATTGTGTGATATCTTGCTATATAATTTGCTATTGTATTTCTGATGATTATTATTTATTTATGTTGAAGTATTTTGTCTATAATATAATGTTTTCAAATAGTTTTTATATTATGGTTTCCTTATTTTATTATTTGTTAAAATCGTTATAAGATATTACTTAAATTATATATGTGGAAAAGAGCTGTTTTGAAAGAAGATTTACAAGAAGAGGAAGGTGTAATCCCTTTTAATTGGGTAGATGGCAAAACTGTTTACTGGCCACCGGGTACCAAACCTTTGAATGCAATGAAGTGTCGTCAAAATCCTGGGAAAAATTGGCTGAAGTTTCCGCTAATAAAACTTGAGTTCTCTTCAGGTATAACATCAATTTCTTAATTATTTTTTTTAATCCTAATAATAAGCTAAAAAGGAAATTTTTTTTTATAACTATTTTATTTCCATAGTAAACAAATAAACTTAAAATAAAACAAATAATTTCCATAAAAAACAAATAAAGAATTCAGTAAATTTAAAAAAATTTTGAATTTACTGAATTCTTTAAATTAACGCCTGAGGAAAAAAGAAAAAACGAGGATGTTGATTTTCTCAACAAAAAAAACACCGTAAAGAGAATATCCAGATTATTTTCCAAGTAGGCAATTATTTAATTTGCTTGAATTATGATTTAGTAAAAGTTAGATTTTTTGTTTAAAAATAAGTGAATTATTATAATTTTTACTACAAAATAGTAATGATATTTTACAGGTTCCAATATCAAAGATCTAGATGAAGTATCAATGCACCTTATGTCTAGCAGTTCATCAATCTTATCTAAAGGTATCATCAATCTTATCTAGAGGTATCAAAAAAATATATTACATAAAGGAGTTATCATAATTCAAAAAAATATATGACATAAGAGAAAGGAGGTCAATACTCTTAGTGGTCGGTATTAGTTTGGAAAAAAAAAAAAAAAGACATAAAGGAGTTACCATAAAACAGAAACGAGGTCATTATTTTTTTGACGACTTTAAATTCTTTTAGGTCAGTAAAGTAGGCATTGCTGAATACCAACTCTTATCCCGAGGGTTTTACATATAAATATATACATATATATATATATATATATATATATATATATATATATATATATATATATATATATATATATATATATATATATATATATATATATATATATATATATATATATATATATATGTATATATATATATATATATATATATATATATATATGTATATATATATATATATATATATATATATATATATATATACATATATATATATATATATATGTATATGTATGTATATGTATGTATATATATATATATGTATTTGTATATATGTATGTATATATTTATACATAAAACCCTTGGGATAAGGGTTCGGCATTTGGCAACGCCAACTATACTGCCGACCTGAAAGACTTTGAAGTTGTCAAAAAATTACTGACCTTGTTTCTGTTTTTTGATAACTCCTTTGTTGTCATGTATTTTTTTTGCCAAACTAATGCCGACCTCTAAGAGTATTTTTTTTTATTTTTTTTTTTTATTTTACTTCACCTCCTCAAGGCCGAGAAAGCCACTACAGACGAGGAGGCTACTTATTTTGTGGCTATAACCCTCTCTCAACTCTATAACTCCGAAACACGAACCTTGACGAACAAGGCCGCTGCGCGGAGAAACAAGTTATGCGCGGTACTACCAGGGACGTGGTGGGGATCGAACTCGGAACCACTCGTTTATGAAGCGAGCGCTCTACCACTACACCACTACCGCATTATTGACCTTGTTTCTCCTAATTCTTACATACATACATACAAGTAAAGAATTTTATTTTTTTTTCCTGTAGTATATAAATATATTGTGTCCTTTATATAGATATTTATAGTTAAAATTATTATTTACTTTTAGTTTTAATTTTTTTTTTTGAAAAATTAGAGCCAAAAATTCTGCTGAATAATAGAGTAACAAATATATTAACAAGAATGAATTTAAAATAAAATAATTTTATGAAGTTTTTTTTTTTTATCTTTGCTAATAATGTCTATTAATATTATTGTTTAGCAAGTATTACGGTTATAAAATAAAAATAAAAGCAGATTTAGCTAGTTTAATTAGTCCTGTTAGTACACTTATATTATGGTTTCTTCATTTTATTATTAGTTCATGTAATATTTTCAAAATCAAATATGTGGAAAGGAGCTGTTTGGAATGAAGATTTACAAGAAGAAGTAATTCCATCTAATTGGATTAGTGATAAAACTGTTTGTTGGCTTCCAGGTACCAAAGCATTGACTGCACTAAAATGCAGAGAAAAATTGGCTTGAGTTTCTACAAATAAAAGCTAAATTCTCTTCAGGTATTACATCTATATATTACAATTATTATTTTTTTAAATAATGTGGTAAGAAGAGTTATTTTGTTGATACAAAATATTAAACTATTTTTATAACTATTTTTATTCCACAGAAAGCAAACAGTGTTGTGAAAATTTTGAATTCACAACTACAAAAGAAAAATGTGATAATTAGAATGTTGATTTACAAAAAAGAAAACATAAACAAAAATAGTTTCCTGATTATTTACCAAGGAGGTATTAAATTATGTGCTTGGATTATATAAATTTCAATTTTTATGCCTAAAAAATATTTTTTTTCATAGAATTTATACTACAAATAAGTAGTTATATTTTACAGGTTCAGTTATCAAAAATTAAAAACCTGTATGCAAAATTTGCATCCAGGTTTCCACTTGTGTGGTTTTTTTTATGTCCGCAAACATAATATTAGATTTACTTTATGTTTTTCACAGATAAATCAATTACAATTAATTAGTGGAGCGTCTCCTAAAGATAGAATAAACAAAATTGTGCTGAGGTAATCAAAAACAGTATTCTAAGGACTCTTACCTCATTTACAATCAGGGTGACCACAGTTCCTCTAAAATCCTCTAAAGTCCTCTTTTTTTAAAAAGCACTTCTAAAATCCTCTATTATTCTCTAAAAAAGTAAAAATTTGATCAAAACTAGTTTAACTCCTCTTTTTTTAATTCTTAATGGAAGTATTATGTTCAAAATACCCATTCTCGGTCTGCAAAACTGGTTAACGCCTTAAAATGCATGGAATTGGAAAAAATTGCTATAGCAAATGCATGCTATTTAACAAAAAAATGACATTATTTAACCCCTATCCAAGCCTTATAAGTGTATAAACATGAACGTTAAACCAATAATAAATGGCCACATAATTTTCTTATAAATAAATAAATGGCCACATCATTTTCTTATAAAAATTTTATGTGGCTACCCTGAAAATTACTTTTCAATGCTAGAAAAGTTTTATATTTTGATTATTAATTTATTTTGAAAAAAAGCTGTTTTGTTTAAATAGAATATTTGAAAAAATTAATAATAACGAACTAACACTTATATTTTCTTTTAAAAATTCAGAGTGTTTTCGAAAAATTATATGGCCTCCACGGGTATGAAAGGCAAAAGTGGAAAAATATGTTTAAAGAGCATCGTAATGGCGTTGAAAAAGATATCCCAGCCAGCATTATTACGTTGTTTCAACGTTGAAATTCGGTCGAAGCATTGTTTCAACGTTGTTCAACTATGTCACAACGTTAAATCAACGTTACCGTTTAAGTGTTGATTATTTAACATTATTTCAACGTTAAATCAACGTTACAGTTTAAACGTTGACTATTTAATGTTATTTCAACGTTAAATCATTGTTGACAAAAAATAAAATACACCTTTTCACAGATCCGATATAAAATTTATGCTCGCGCAGAAATGGAAGTAAAAACGTAAACATTATTTCAACGATTTAAGTTAAAAAGATTTATAATGGAAAAAAATGTAAATGCTGAACTTAGAACATATAGAATTTGTAAGAGATCGAAAACATGTTCAGACAATTTTCCTGAAAGAGCATTATCGTTTAAAAATCAAGATTTTTTGTTTAACTTTAGCTACAATGCTCAAAGACTTATATTATTAAATTTAAATAATACAACTTTTTCAAAAAATGATCCATTAAATTATGTTGAATTTATTGTTAAGTATTGTTTTATAAAAGAGAATCAAGAATTAAAAAAGGAAATTAATAACTTTAAAAAAGAACTTCAGATTTATATGAAAAATTAACGTCAACCACATCAGTTACTACTATGAAACCAGGCAAATTTGTATATAAACATAATCCAAACAAATTGTGTTATTGCAATTTACTTGTATACAAATATTTATTTTAAAAATGATAGATCTTGCTACTTTTATACTGGAATTACACCTGTCAATCTGTATCATTTAGTGCAGTATCACCATTAATCAAAAGAAGATAAAGTGATATTAAAAAAACATCTACTTCTGTTTTTTGAAATTTAAAAAAATCCTTAACTACTTGGACCAAAATAAATCTAATGCAGCAAAGATGAATTTTTAATGATGCTAATCATTGAATTACTGACAGCTGATCTTGCTGACAGGTTTAATATATTTTTAGGATTAGCGAATGCAGTATTTTCTTCATGGTTAAAAGCTTCTAGCTCACTTTTAAAGCACATGGTTTTTGTTCCAAGTAAAGATATTATAAGACAGGCAATGCAAAACAGATTTTACAAATTAAATTATTTAGACTAACACTAAATTTCAGATATAACAGAGTTTATTATGGAAACACCAGAAAAATTTTGACTTACAGAAACTAACAAAGAATGAATACAAACATTACAACAATATAAAATCATTAGTACCCATAGTTCCAAATTCATCAATATTTTCTTTAAAAAAATTCTAAAGCTTACAGAAGCTAAATTTAGAATAAAGAAATTACAAATCGCAACAACTATTTAGATTGTATTACAAAATACTCTAGTATAATGTATGATTAAGGCTTGAATATTAATTTTTTAATACAAATGAAGTGATTTTAATTAAATTCATTTTTATCAGTCACTTAAAAAATATGATGAGTATTTGTATAAAGATAATTAAAATTTCAAACAATAATATTAGCTTTACATTTTTTTTTAGGTGAAGCAATTGCAATTGATGGAATATCTTTAAAAGACAGAATTCACAAAATAATGCTGAGTTAATCTAAATAATTATTAATTATTCAGGAGTTTAAAGGATTAAATTATTTAGCAAAAAAATTGTTTGATAATGAGTTCAATTTAAATTAAAAAAAAAAAATTAATATTAGTTCTTGCATAATTAATATCAGTTCTCTTATCTACTAAAATTCCAACAATTTTGTGACCTCCATGAATATGTAAGGGAAAGGTGGAAATATGCTTTAAGAGCACTAATTTATATGGTGTAGTGAAAGGTATACCTTTATAAGATATGTAAAACTTTTTTATTCTCATTTTTTATATATTTAAAAATTTCTCCTTGTGTTTTTTTTTTTCTAATTCTTTTTTATTAACAGCTTTTCTATTAAATACGATTGAGCAACTTAAACTTTAATTGATGGCATTTTGTCTAACTCCTTAAAATGCGCTCCGTTTCGAAAAGGTGGCAGAAAAAATATGTTACAAGTTATTTTTTGGTCTCTAAAGTTGTTTGAATGATAATTTATTATTTATTAAATTTTTTTTTTTAATTTTAGTTATTATCTTATGTAGATGTTTATGTTTTAGCAACCTAGGCACACATCACAAAAATAGGTTTAAGTTTTAGGTCAGAGTTCCCCAATTATTTTTATGGAACTTTTATCTGTGGCTCTTTAGGATACTGTATCTAGAAGCTTAAAAATCAAATGGTAGCCTTTTTTGAAAAAAGTGACTTAAAAAAAATTTCTAATGCAAGGCCATTTGTAGACAAATTTTTTAAGTGTTTGAGATACTCTAAACATTGATATGTTCATGTTTATGTCAAATAAGGATACTTTGCAAAAATATGTGACAATTGGAGCTTGGGAAAAAAAACAACCTTACGTTAGCCCCCCTGACCATAACACAAACACAACAAGTTTGTATTTAAAAAAATTTCATTATTATTAACTCAGTTTAAATTCATCAATGAATTTCAAATTCCATGCAATAATATCTGAGTTTTCAAAAATTATGACCATATAAAGTTCGAATCCCCCTTAATTTGAGGGGAAACTAAACTTAGGTGGGTCGTAACAACGGAACACTAAGAGATTATTCCTTGAAACTTGAAATTTGTTAATGAATTATAACTGAGTTAATACTAGTGATTTTTTTTAAAATTGTTTTTTACTTGTTATGGGTAGGGGGCTAACCTTTATCAGTTATTTTGTTCCCAAGTTCTAATCATCACAAATTTTGAAAAGTGTCATTATTTGACGTAAACATGAAATTATCAATGTTTGGAGTTTCTAACATGTCTAGAAGTTAGTTATCTTAAACACTAAAAATGTTGTATTGGACTTGAAATGGAGTGGAATTTTTTTTTGATGGGGAGAAAAAATGTTAAATTCTTTTAAAAAGACAATTCTTATTATCCTAACTCATATACCTGATTAACTATTCATGTTGCAATAGTTAATCATATTTCTAACATTTGCATAAAATGCAAATGCTAGAAAAAACTAAGATTTTTTTATACTGTTAGCTAAGGATTAAAAAAATTATTTGTATTTAATGTTTTAAATTTATAATCTATAAATTAGTACTGCTGAACAATTCAGCAATTCTTCTGCTTCTAAGAGAGTGCTTTGAGCTTTGTTTGTGAAACATTGAATCATTCAATTATTGGCTTCATTTTTGAATGAGCCGATTCAGATGCCTGTTCATTGTATCCTCCAAGAGAATGACCAGTAAGTTTAATAAATTGTTACAAGTGAGCTGAGATTATATGTATTTTTCAGGTCACAGTAAGTTTCTTTCCTAGAAACTAATAAAATATTCTATAAGATAGATAATAATAATAGTATATAAAAAGTCAATTTAAAGCAAGTTCATTATAATTAACTGTACCTCTGAACAATACTTCTGTGTGGCTTTGTAGGAACAATCAAAGTCAGTTATTAGTTGAAGATAACAAGGGTAAAGATAACTTCAGAAGGATCCTTGAACTAATTTCTCAAATTTTCTCATTGGACATAGAAGTGGTAAGAGTTCAATTGGTAGCCTTAGTGGTCACAGTTTTTAAGAATAATCCTACATGTATTGCTTTCATATGTTCCCCCATGGTATCCTCTTCTAATACATCCAAGTTAGTCGACCCAGTCTTTGTATTCAGGCCAATAAACAATTATATAAGTTGATATATGATTTACAAATCCCATTAACATATGAAGCTCCGGCAAAGGAATGACTTCAAGAACTAGTTTTGACTTGTTTCTCTCCTTTATTAGGCATGCATTCACCACATTCTATCAAAGTTTATTAATTTGATTACCCATTTTAAAAAAATTATTTTTTTTTTTAATAAAAAGATTTTTAAATTTTTAAATTAAATAATAGTTAACATTCACACCTTATAATCTTTCATTTCAGAACTTCGATAACCAGCTTCCATGTATCTCCGATGATAGATCCAATGATAAAAATGTTTTTGTCAACCCACCAAAAAGTTCACATTCTCCTTCACACCAAGCACAAGCATACATACCACCATGAGACTAAATTTTCTTTTTTTTTTTTAAATCCTAATTAACTAATTAAAAGTTACATAATAAATTATTTTTAAATCATAACTTACTGAAATTCCTAGAAGAATATTAATTATTTTCACATCAGCTGCAAAAACATATTTACAATCTTCTAGCTTTAGAAGATCTAATAAAATGGCTAAATTTTTGTGGCTCCTGCAAGTTGTCACAATATGCAAGAACTATGGAATGGTTGATTCCAGCGTATGTTCTGTGAGAACTTTGATCTTTGCATTGTTCTTTTTCTGGATCAAAGAGGTTACAAATTCCTTAAGTGATCCACCTCCTACAAAATTTTAATTTTATATTAAAAAATGTATATTATTAAGTTCGATATTATATATAGGTTATATATTATCTCTTCATCTAATAATGTTTTTAACTGAATCAATTCCAATTCGTATGATTGTTTGGTAAGGGTTTTGCTTTCTGTAAGTAATTACAAAGTTAAGCAGCTCTGTTAATTGAAAAACATAAACAAGGTCTCTTGACACATCAGTTGACAACTTTTTTTTTTCTTCTGCAAAAATTATCTTCACATCATAAAATTCAGATAGGAGTTTACTTTTTTGGTGAAGTTTTTTTTCAAGATTTGCCTCAAATTGAATTCCAC